GGGCCAGCCTCTTCTCCGTGGTGCCCAGCAACAGGACAAGAGGCAACGGGCAGAAACTGAACCACAGGAAGTTCTGTTTGAACCTGAGGAGAAACTTCTTGACTGTGGGGGTGACAGAGCACTGGAAGAGGTTGCCCGGAGAAGCGGTGGAGTCTCCTTTGCTGGAGATATTCAAAACCCGCCTGGATGTGATCCTGGGAAATACGCTCTAGAGGACCCTGCTTGAGCAGGGAGGTTGGACTAGATGATCTCCAGAGGTCCCTTCCAACCTCAAGCGTTCTGCAATTCCGTGGTTCTGTGTCTTCATGCTTAAAGCTGACAGAAATGGCCAGCTAGTAGTGATGATTATAGATGAGTGTCTCTGTCGCCTCTTAAGTAAAGAAGCTTAAATGACTTCTGTAGTAGCAAAAGCCTGTGCTGGTAACTGTATATTAGCTTCTGAGTCCATGGAGCCAGGCAACTGTTCTGGAGAAAGTCCAAGGGACTGTTAGAGGGTTAATATGATAGTAAATCAGCAGGAGGCAGCCGGTCCACAAGAGCTGCATTATAAAACCATCAGACATCTACAACATTCACTTTTATGAGCGTGGCCTTTTAAAACACTTCTTGCCAGCTCAGAGCCTGTGCTTCCTGGCTGCAGTGCTGGAGCTGCTGGTGAGTTTGTACCTAGGGCTACCTTCTTGGCCTTGGCACAGTGTCAAATGCTCATTGATTGCCGAGATCCAGAGGGACCTTTATGCAGCAGAAAATACTAAGCAAAGAGCTATGTCTAACAGTTATAGCTGTGATTAATCTCCGGATGTGATCAGAAGGGAGGCCACAGGCAGCTCTTTTCCCCCTCCAAGGGGAAATCCAAAGATGGGCTGCCCACTGTTAGACACATGCACACATCCTGAGCAAACTGAGGGAGAGGGAATTTGAGCCAGTTGCTGCAGTGCAAGCTGTCTCCCTCTTTCCAGATCTTCGGAAATCAAGATGGCTCATGCTCTGGGCTCAGTTCCCATTTCTTCAGAAACTGTGTATGACCTTAGGAAGCCTGACTTCTTTTTCCTCCACTTGAAAAATAAAAATGTATTCTATTCTGTGAAGGGCCATGAGGTATATAACTCAAGGGTTTGTGCAGCAGAGAGCCCTGCAGTTAAGAGTATGCAGCTCCAGAAGGAGCCATCACAGCAGCTGTGACACTGTCTGGAGCGCTCGTAGATCCAGAGCTGTGGTCCATGCTAGGAGGGAAGCAGGCAGGGGAAGCAGTCAAAGGCACACGGATGGGGGCTCATGCCCAGGCAGAGCAGCAGGCTCTGTCTGTAGTGTGTTGACCCCTATGCAGATGCTCAGAGTCTTCTAGTGTGTTATAACAGCAGAGCCAGGTGCTGTGCTCAGCTGCAATCTAGACTGTTGCACTGCAGCTTTCAGCAGATAAGCTGAAAAAGAGTATGCCAAGTAGGAGGCAATTTAGCAACACTGAGTGTGGAGAGATGTCAGGGAGGGGCTGGACCATCCACATAAAAAAACAATTGCGGAGACTGCAAGTTAAAGAATAAATGTCTTGGTGCACCTCTTGCCTAATGTGCCTTTGTTGCTTCTCTTTCTAGCCTAGTGGAGGGCTGTACAACAGCATGATCTTGTAAAGCCTTGTTTAGCAAGAGCTCTCAGATAAAGGTTAGTGTTGCTGCTTCTCCTCTGGACATATGCTCAAAATGAGCAGTGCTGTGAATCCCACCAGGGAGCTGAGCTGCCTTTTTCGGCAGTGGGTGTATTCATAGCCTATGCCAACTGCCAGATAAAACTCATTAGCTTAAACTGCAGTAAACGAGGTTTAGTTTAATATGTTTGATCTTGCATATGGGCTGGGCTAAGGTCATGCACAGCCAGTAGACGCAGCTCAGCTTACTAGAGGAAGTGAGGCAGCTGGATTTAGCTTCACACCCTTGTTCATGCTCTCCCGAAGCACGGTTTCGCTTTGTAGAAGGGGAGCTGAGCAGGTACAAGATGCCTTCTTCCCTGGCACTGTGTTGGCTCCCTGCATGGGGGTCCTCCAGCAGCAGGCAAAACCATGCGTGCAAGCCCTGCCTCCGTTTACCCTAGGGTTCCCTAGTCCAGCTGTACTGTTTGGCTTTTTTATGGGAACAGACCAGCACTTGGCCACTCCCCTCTCCTGGAAAGGAGCATGACTTTGTATAACTTTATGAGCATAAATCCAGTGGTTAGCAGTGTGTTCCAGCACCAGTAGTAAAACAAGTCAGGGCAACTGTACTGCAGGACCACAGGGCTGCATTTCTCTGAGAACTACTGTTCTCTCTGCATTCCTGACCCTCCCCACCTGGTGTTGTTAGTACCTTCAGTCCAGCAGTTTTTGTCCTGCTTCATGGCTGAATCCACATGTTCTTCTGGCCCCTTCCTCCGTAAGGACTTCCTTTGCAGAGGGTGCCTTGCTAGGTAACTGCTCTTGTTTTAGGGTCGGCCATCCCTGAAGTAAGCTTCTGGTTTTTTGCATGGGACATTTGCTGCAACTGACACACAGGGTTTCCAGCTCTGCCAGAAATCTTGGCAGCTACTCTCTGCTGCCTCCTCTGTTGCCGCATCTAGGTAGCAGCTGTTTGCTGATGAGAGAGAGGACAGTTAGTTAGCCATTGGAGACCTAAACCACTCTGTGGAAAGAGGAGGAGGTTCAGCTCTCTAGTATCTATCCATCCACCTTCTAGCAGTGCTCTCTGTGACAGAGCAAGTGGAGTTTTAAGTGTGAATTAACTTGGGTTAGTAGTGTGTGTTAGTGGTTAATGGAGAATATAAAGTGTCTTGAGAGGCAGCCTTGAGGGAAAACTATAGACATCTGTTTCCCTTGGGGGTTGGAGGGAAACTTGGAGGGAAACGTTCTGACTTTGCAGCTCAAGTACATTCACTGAACCTAATTGTCCAGCTGTTTGAACTTGGATTTAAAAAATGTGAGTGAGCCAGTGTGTTTAGTGCAGACAGGTCTTAGAAGTGGAACCTTGGCTCTTGAATATGTTTTCCATGCTGTATGGGGACACCTGCCACATGTAGCTCAAAGCTTTGTGGGCAGAGTCACTTCACCTGTCTTGCCTAGGTTGAGGTTGAGCATCCCGCTCAGTGTTTACTGCCAGGTGAGCGTGTCAAACTATACAAGAGGCAGCTGAGTGGCATGGGACTCCTTTGCTGCCTCACTGCTGGATGCACTTGGTTCATGGTGCTCTCCCTGAAACCTTGCTGTCACCTGCCAGCTATTCCACCTCCCTCTTCAGACGCTCAGGTGTTGTCCAGCTTCTGAAAGGTGGTCTCTGAGGGCCAGAGGAAAAGCTGCAGCAAATAGTACTGGTGAGTTCAGTGAGAGGAGTTCCTTTTTCCCTCAAGCTATTGCTGACCCACTTCCCTGCCTTGGCAGGAAGAGCTGCCATGCTGTGGGGATCTTGTCTCCTGGCTGAGATGTAGAGCTGATGTCCTAGTTGTGTGCAGCCGCTAATTTCTGGCAGAAAGGTTCAGTGGCTGCATTAGCTTTGCTGTGCTCTGATTTAACTCCCCTTTGCTTGTTTGTTCCATCTTTCCTTTTATTTAGCTACAATACATTTAGCTCCTAGCCCTTTAAGTATTGGTTAAGGTTGCACTACGTTGTTAAAAGCTATTCTCTTCATTTTCCTGATACTGACTGGTCCACATATAGCACTTTCCCTCTTTGCAGGAATACTGAGATGTATTGCTGTGGTTGCTTACAGGAGTGATTTAGGCAGGCATCAAGTAGTGCCTACTCTTTGGAAGAGTTTCACTGCACAGTGAAAAGGCAAATAACCAGCTAAACTCATTTATTCTGCGGCAGCATAACTGGAAAGTATCTAAAAGCAACACATTAAAACTGAACGAGTTTAGGGAAGGAGACAGAAACCGCATTGACTGGAAAGTCCTGAAAGATGCAGGAACCTTCTAAATTTAACAGACAAACCTTGCCTAGTCTTGCATTTGTGCACCATTCGTTTGTGGCCTCCTACAGAAAAAGCCAGCTTATGAAATCTTTGCAGTCCTGAGTACTGTGAAATGCAAGAGCCCTCTGGTACTTCTGCTGCATGGAATACATGTGCCGTGAACTTTGTTGTGTTTGATATACTTTCAGCAGGTGTAAACCTCTAAATTTAACAGACAAACCTTGCCTAGTCTTGCATTTGTGCACCATTCGTTTGTGGCCTCCTACAGAAAAAGCCAGCTTATGAAATCTTTGCAGTCCTGAGTACTGTGAAATGCAAGAGCCCTCTGGTACTTCTGCTGCATGGAATACATGTGCCGTGAACTTTGTTGTGTTTGATATACTTTCAGCAGGTGTAAACCTACTTGCATCTTTTTTTTTTTTGGTAACAGTCATAGAAACCCCCCTGCCGCTGCTGTTTGCTGCCATCCTGATTGCACTTCGTCACCGGGTGCATTCAATCAGCCACCCCAACGCCACTATCTACCCTACCCAGTCAGTGGATGACCTGCCAGTGTTCTTCTATCACCGACATCCGAGCAACCCTTGGGAGCTGGCATACGTTCCCTCGAACAGCAGTGCTGTGAAGAGCATTGCTGAGGCAGTAGAGAAAGCTTTACCGATCAGCATTAAAGGTTAGCAGGGGCTGGGAGTTGTGACTTGGACCTGTACGTTTCTGAAGTCAGGCATGTGTTTGTTATAGCCCTAAGTGAACGCTGCACTTCCAACTTTGGTGATGTAAGTGCATTCCTGAACTGGAACCTGCAGGTAGGATGTTCTAAGTTCCTTGGATGAAACCTCTAAAGGACATGATATTCTCCCTAGATTAAGCACTACTAGAGTCCAGAGACCAGAATCTAATTGAAGCACTGGGTGGCAGTGTTGGTGGCAGCAGCTTTGCTTTTATCAGCTGAGTTGTCAGCTAAAATTAAGAGTTCTGTTGAAACATAGACTTCTATTCAGCAGCGTGTCACCTGTTCTTATGGGTAACATCCAGTATATAAAGCAAAATGAGGTTTGAAAAAATGAGCATCCTCTTCTCTTCTGTATATTTGACAAATTTATGTCTAATCATTCTGTCTTCCACCCCAGGAATTGTCAGGGTAGCCAGAAATTCTCAGACTAATTTTTATTAAGATAAATCTTGATGCTCTTTTCCCAGAATGCATCACTTTCTCAGAACTTCCAGGCAGCCATTTAGCTTTTGTTTCACTAGAGCTGCCTGACTTAGTTTTGATTTTTGTTACATTTTTCGTTGCAATTTCTATCTAGAAATTGAAACATATTGGCCTTAAACTAATTGAATAAAGTGGCTGTCACTTCCCCGAAACAAAGTATTTTGATAATATTGTTGCACAGAAAATTTTAATACTTCCACTTCTTGTTCCAAGCTAAAGAAAATACTAGAATTTTTCTGTGAAAAGATATCTGCTCTCAAGGAGGAGAGAAAATCTGTATGTCCCAGGCTGGATATGGCTACATCCCATATAAATTCCCTGTGTCTGAGACTGATGATGTTGGAGTGCATCGCTCCTGCCCAGAAAAACTGTCCTGAAACAATATGACGTAGTCAGTGATGGCTTTCTGGGTTTCAGCCTGCTCTGTGAATGCCATGCTCTGCGGACTGCAACTCCTACAGGCTGCTCACTGTCTGCCTTTCCTTCATCTGCAGCTCAAGGCTTTTCCTCAGAGAGGGAATTTGAGGAATACGTGAAGTTGGACAACCGCTCAGGCAACGTGCTGGCTGCTGTTGTGTTCAAACACTACTTCAGTCGGAGCAAGGCCCCCTTGCCCCTCCAGGTAAGCAGAGCTGCTGGCTGTGTGACTACAGCTCAGTGTGAAGAGGTGGGGCTGGATTCCAGCATCCTGCAGAGGGAGAATGACCGTTTTAACCTTGATGGGCAGCTGCTGGCGGGGGGGGGGGCTGCTGATGCCAAATATCCTGGCTCCTAGAAGCCTTCTCAATGCAGTCAGATGCCTGCAGAGGTGCCCAGACATGCCTTGGAGGGCATGTGAAATGCAGCTCTTCCATTAGCACTTTGCAAAGCCTGACTGGAGGGAGAGGAGTTTACTCCCAAGCTGTTAACAGTGGCTTAGTGCTAGTGCTTGGAGAGACGAGTCCATATGAAGAAGGATGTGAGGGTGGCGGCCTCTTCTGGCCCTTTGTGATGCAAGGAGTTGCCTCTCTTTCTGATTAACCTGTGACACAAACCTCCCTTCTGTGCTTCTTGCAGGTTGATTATGAACTGCGCTTCAAGTACAGCCCGAGGAATGCTCCCCGGAGTGAGCAGACGGGCTTGAACCCCAACCTTGACCGTGACTGGCACACCAGCTACCTCTTCCCTCTTTTCCAGTTGCCTGGCCCCAGGGAGGCCAAGTTTGCAGATGGTGGAACACCGGGTGAGGGTTTGCTTTTATTCTGCCATATGTCATTTGCCAGCCAATAAGACAAACTTAATTTTCTGTACTGTGACACACTATAAAGTATTCACTGAGACTCTGTGTGTAAATAAATATTCCATGAACCAGAATCTCTTGGGAATTGCTGGCCAGCACCTGGCCTAGTCTGACAGCAGCCAGCTGCAGAAATGAGGCTTTCCTCAGTGTTCCCCTCCACCGATTGCTGTCAGCTGTCAAGGCAGCTCACAAGGCCAGGAAGGGCAAGATATGGGCTTTAAAAATGCAGGGGATTGGTGAGGCAAAGGGTTGACGTCATCTCTGTCAGTCTCTTACTGACAGATAAACAAGTCCTCCCTGTGTCCTTGGTGACAGTGCCTTGTGTGCCATGGCTAGTGCGTGGATGCTGCAGGCCTTGCTTCCCGCTGCTTTAGCCAGTGTAACTCTAGAGCAAGCTGGAGGTGTGGGATGACAGTCATCTTCCTAAAGGCCCTACAAAATAAGGAAGAGTATCTGTTTGTCTGGAAGGGCTTGGATAAGCATAGATTTTATTTATTTGAATGTTAAATTTAAATATATATTATTTTCTCATTTTAAATATATTTTTAATGGGAAATTTCTTTCAAGTCCAGACTATTTAGGTCTTATAATGCTACTGAAATACGTCAAAACTAAATAGAGCAATTCTGTGGTTTCAGCAAAAGTTTTTAAAGAAGGCCAAACCACTGAATGGGAAAGAGCAATGAAATTCCTGGAGCTGGAACGGGTTTAGGATTAGCACAGCCCTTGATATCTGGAGCTTCCTCTGTGGCTGCAAAAAGGATATTTCCCTCAATTTAGTTGCTTCTTCCGTTTGATTCAATAGCTACGTCAAGCAAAAGATTGGGAGACTGAGAAAGCGGGCAAACTGATTTTCTTCCGAGGGTCTGGGTAAAGCAGCATGAGGGCACTGTGTCTACTAGTTTGAACAGACATACTCTAGTCAATTTCCTTACTACAATGTTTGTTTAGTCAATTAGTTAATATAAATCATTATCAGTGAACTCCTTTTTTTTTCCACCTTTTCCATGTGTGTCTAGGATGTTTTAGGCAAGTAGCTTTCAAAATGTTGATTTGGAGCTTTCTACGTGGAATTCTAGTTTCCATTCAGGTACTATGGCAGAAATCACCTGTAAAGATAGAAGTTTAAAAAATATTACTGTTTTCTAATGTACAAAAATTTAAGCCAAACGTGTGAAAAATGGGGTATATTCTTCCCCACAGAAACCTACTTCAGTATCACATACCGAAGTATGTGTAGTTTAGTATGTGAAGTTTAGTGTAAAAAAGGCTGAATTTCATACAACAACTCTGTTCAGTGACATTTTGTGGTTAAAGATAACTGAGAATCCCTTTCCTTACAAAAATAAAAACCATGCAGAAAGAGAGTTGCCGTTTAAATTGAAGTTTCTTGCCAGCTGTTTTTAAATTATGATAATAAGAGATTTAAATTGCTCTGATTTAAATCGTTCCCAACCCCTCTGTCTGCTGAAATGATAGCGAGTATTTTGATGGTGATATTTGTTTTCCTTTTCTTAAGGGCTTTTTTCTTCTTTTCTGTTCTTCTCAAACAACCCTTCCCTTAGAGGCTACTTCTCTTCCTAAGAATGCCTTTGCTGTTCTTTTCTCCCTGTGAATTTGTCTTTATAGAGCATGGACACTTTTCTATTTGCTTGTGTTGTTTTTGCCATGCAGGTTATATCCGGGAAGGCTTCCTGGCAGTGCAGCATGCTGTTGATAGAGCCATCATGAAATATCACACTAACACCACCAATGCCAGCCTGCTGGAGAATATCACAGTGGTGGTACAGCGCTTCCCTTACCCGTCGTACATCAATGACCTCTTCCTTCTTGCCATCCAGAACCAGCTACCCCTTCTGCTCATGCTCAGTTTCACCTACACCTCACTCAACATCGTCCGTGCTGTCGTACATGAGAAGGAGAAGAAGCTGAAGGTAACATGAGTGGGTCGTCTGGACTAGTATTTCCCATGCTGCCCCTTTTGTGGTCTCTGATGCCCCAGGAAGAGCTTACCCTTGCTTTGTGCCATTGGGACCTCCTTTTTGAAGGAACAGCTCCAAAATAATAAGCACCTAATGGTTTGTAACCCCTACTGCTGTCACTGCAGACAGCTCTGTGCGTAGCGCTCGCCTTCCTTGCTTTGCTCCCCTCACTATGCAGTGTTTTCTAACAGGTCTTTCCTTTACAACAGCTGGGTAGGAAAAAAATCCCCATTAGGTTTGGGGCCAGAAAGCAGGAGGTGGGGAGAAGGGATGACAGAGGATTAGCAAACTCCAGGGAAGAATGTCGTTAATCCTGTTGCTGGAACCCTGCTTTGTTCTTCCTTACTGTGCAGCCTTATGTGCTGAGCAGTGCTGTTGGACGTGAAGAATGGTGTTTCTTTTGGACGGGAGAGTATTTTGAGAAGTTCTTGAGAGGACAACTCTTTTGGATTCAGGAATTCAGTGTGTGGGAAGCAGGATTGCTGTTTTTTAAATTTAGAAACCTGTGTTTCTAAATTGTCATGTGTGGATGGTTAGGAGCTCAACTAAAGTGATGGTTGCAAGATCAAGCCTGAGGGTGCATGGCTCAGTTTCTTCTGGGGTGTTAGACTGAGCTACCCTCTAGTCTGCCCTGCTGCTAAATGACTGCAGCAGCCCCACCAGCCTGAAATGCTGTGGTTTTGGATCCAGCTCAGCACTTCAGGGAAACCTTGTTCTCCTCATCCCTCCTAGCATGGCTTCCTGCTCTTGTGGTGGCCCCTGTTCAGGGAGGGGGCACTGTATGAGGATGAAGGCTGTACAGGGCCACTTCACCTCCTGCCTGGTGCCTGGGGCTGCCTCCTCCCTCACCAACACTGAAGGGCCACAGCCGCCATCTCCACTCTCACAATGGATGCCTCTAACAGAGTTCTCCCTGGTCCTGCTCACTTCTGCATGAGGTGCTCTGGGCCCCCTTGCTCATGAAGCACGGATGTAGCTCTGAGTAACAGCTTGGCCTTCCCACAGGAGTACATGCACATGATGGGCCTCAGCAACTGGCTGCACTGGAGCGCCTGGTTCCTCATGTTCTTCCTCTTCCTCCTGGTGTCCGTGTTTTTTGTTACAGTGCTCTTCTGTGTCAAGGTGAGTATCTTTCCTCAGGCCCTCATTGCACAGATCAGTACTGCTGTGCTGGCTGGGCATGAGGTTCACAAGACTTCTTTGTTATTGGCTGGGGAAAAGGAGGACTATCCTGGTAATTTAGGACTCCTCTTTCCTCCATGTGCCTAATACAGAGAGCCTTTATGCAAGCCAATTCCCTGCCTAACTGGGTGGGCAGAGCTTAAGCTCTGTGAAGGATGAGTGCACCCGGGGGCTTGGTTTATTCGTTCAGGCCAGGCCCCCTGCCACTCTTAGCTTCAGAGCGTTGACCCCCACCCCCAGCAAGTGGGCTAGGTGCTTTAACATCCTTTCACACTTCCTATGTCACCCAGCAGCCATGAGTTCCACAGGATGAGATTGGAGGGTAAGAGCTAAGCAGGTGCAGGGAAGGTCCAGGCGTTCCTGAGCCTAGCAGGAACTCCTGTTCCTGAGAGCCTGTGAATCCTTGGAGGGACTCAGGCTCTCCTGCTTCTCTGTACCTGCACCATGAGAAACAGGAGGCAGCTGTCATGGGTGGAGAGCAAGGTGTCCTCTGCCTCTTAGATCCTGTGTTACATGAGGACAGCCCACACTTCCTCCATTTGGACTGGTCTAGGAGGGCCTGGGTGTTCTCGGTTCATCTCAGTTTATTTTTAACCTATGGAGAGTATCGGGCCTTGGCTGCCTTTGTGTGCCTGCAGCTGTGACCAGCTTCACCAGCTGCAGGTGTAACAGGATTTTCTTGGTAGGTGAGCGAGCAGGGAGCAGTGCTTACCAACAGCGACCCCACACTGGTGTTCACTTTCCTCGCCGTATTCTCCATCTCCTCTATCTCCTTCAACTTCATGGTGAGCACCTTCTTCTCCAGAGGTGAGTCTGTCTTCCCTATTTGCCTCCTCTGGCTGATCTTCTGTTACCTCGTGTGTGCGCTGTGCAGCTCGTAACTAAGCCTCCCTCAGTGACCTTATGCAATCTCAGAGAAAACTGCTTTGGGGAAAGGGGGATTTGAGCAGTTATCAGCCTTTTCAGTGGTCTGTGCTCAACCTCACCTGTTCTCTTTCCTATTCCCCAGGAGAAATGTGTGACTAGAGACATGTGTGACTGTGCAAAGGTTTTTTTATCATATAAACTAAAAGCTCTTGAAATCTCCATTCATCTTTCCCTCTGGCAGTCCAGAAGCCTGCGTTTTGCAAGCACCCCTGGGGTAGGAGCTGTCTGACCTACTGCTTGTAAATCTCTACTTGTAAACAACCTGGGCTTTTGAGTTAGAGAGTCTGTCTGGTGAAATGCTGATGATGTTCCAGCTGGTAACAGAAAACTCACGGACAGAGGAAAACACTTAGAAACTGTTTCCCTCTCCCTGTGGGATTTACAAATCCTGCCAAAGGCATGAGAGGAACCCACACAATGCACAGTTTGTTCTGGGCCTTGTGGCAATGGGCCTAAGAGCGTTGTTTCCCTTGCCAATAGGTCATGCGTGGAGAGAACAGCATGGTGTAAAATTATTGCTTCTTGCATGATTTTGGTTGGAAGAGATCTCTGGAGGCATGTTGCTCTGGTCCATCTTGCTCAAAGCGGGGCTAACTCCAAAGTTAGATGAGGTTGCTTAGGGCCTTGTGCGGGACAACTTGTCTTGATGCCCAGAGGGGAGTCCTTACTTCCCTCTTTGGCTGCATTTTATATGTAGCGCCTGTGAAGGGGATGTATATACTATCACTTCCCAAATCCGATAAGCTAATCTTCAGGGCCTCATCTGGGTGTTTTGGGCCCCAAAGTGCTGTGCAGGAGTGCTCTCTGCTTTGAGGTGGGCTGGCTGCTTTAACAGCTGTCCCGTGTGGGGTCAGTATCCAGCCCTGCTCCTGCCTTGCTGTGTGACATGGGCAAGTCATAGCCTCCACTCCCCTGTTACCGTTTGACAGAAGACCTGAATCTTCATGGATGGAAAGCTGACAAGAAATATTCAGCAGCAGCACCATGTTATTGATGTTTCCCTTCCTATTTTTCCTCTGTCCTTGCAGCAAACGTTGCAGCTGCTGCTGGTGGCTTCCTGTACTTTTTCTCCTACATCCCTTACTTCTTCATCTCACCCCGCTATGACCTGATGTCCCACAACCAGAAGCTGGCATCGTGCCTCATCTCCAATGTGGCCATGGCAATGGGGGCACAGCTCATTGGCATGTTTGAAGGAAAAGGTGAGTGAGTGCCTCTTGTTTCTCATACCCGTTGCTGCCAGTCAGCAGAGGGAGGGAAGTCAGCCTGGTGGTGTGCACAGTTTGCTGAAGGCTGAGTGTCTTTGTCCCATCTTTTTGGCTCAGCCTGCCTGTTGACCTCCTTTTCTCTGTGGTGGGTTGGAACTGGCTTATGTGCAGTCTGAAGGGCATAAAGAAGTCAGAGTCACTTTCCTGCTCATAGCAAGAGCAGGAGGGCTAACTGTTGAGTGTTCCTGCAGGTCTTATCAGCTTTGCCTTTCCAAACCCTTGTGTCTGGCTGCTGCGAAGTGCAATCTGGACTGTACAAGAAGCTTCAGTCAGTCACTTCGATTGCAAAGTTTAATCTGTTCTAAGGGATGGGAATTAATTGTATCCTCGCCTTTCCTTTTTTTTTTAATTTCCATGTTAATAAGAATTTGCTGTTAGTTCCAGTAGAGACCACATATTTGCACAGTGATGGACCTGAACAGGAGGCTGTAGTGACAGATCTCATTAGAAAAAAAGATTGTTTCTTCTTTCACATTCTTTCTAATTGCCTTGGGAAGAAGCATGATGCTTTGTGCAAAGGATGGGGCTGGGAGCCTAGAGATTTCAGTACAGTTCCTGTTGCATCTTTTCTCTCCATCTGTAAAACTGGTCTTGTTCTAGGTTTGCCATGTTGCAGTCTCTTCCAGAGCCTCCATGTGTTTTTTGCGCTCAAAACTTACATGTTGTTATTTCATAATGTCCTCTAAAACTGTAGGCTGTTTTCTGGGACACAGCATCTGTGCAAAGAAACATGATAACGTCTTTGTTTCAGAAGGTGGCTATAGGGATTAAGTCAGTCCTGCATGAGGTGCATTGAGGCAGCATTGATGGAGACCCTGTAATCATTTAAATATAGAATGGCATGTGGGATATGTGGGATAGCTAATAGACTTAACAGAGAGGAGGAGCAACACAGAGGCCTGCTGAGCTGCTTGGGTGCTGACACAAGTGATTTTGTGGTTGGGAGGTCCAAAAAGGTTTGCTGGGTTTGATTCTTTGATGTCTGCAAGGTGGTTGAAACTCTTTGGGCAAATCCGTGCTACCACTTAAATGTTTGTCACTGGCTCTGGAGTTTCCCTTGCTGATATGGCTTGGTTTAGGAAGGTAGGTTTAGTTTAGGTAGGGTTGGCAAAGAGTTAAACATCATCCCAAATGGCCAGTTATATTTGCATCAGTTCCACTGAGCTCTTCAGAGAGCAGGAAGAGTGAAGCCCCTGCCCATCAGGTCCTGCAGTCCCAGAGGTGTGACAGTGACCCCAGAACTGATCAGCTGTACGAGGTTCTGCCCTCAGCACAGCCAGGATGGAGCAAGGAAGGTCCTGCAGTGATTTGGGTGTTTCGCCCAAACGCTTTTGGGTCTTTGCAAATTATGTTACTCAGCTCTCTGAGTGTTTGGGCCAAACAGCTCTTTTTCTTCCATGGAAGATGGAAGGGGTTGTAGTAATTCAGGTAATGCAATGCTCTGTGCAGTGCAATGCAGAGATATCTGGGTTTGCGTAGAATCAGCTTGTGTTCAGCAGACATTGTTAGTTTTGATTCAGCTCCAGGCTTGCTGGATTGCAGTGGGAACATGCAGTGTCTCCATTGCCAGGTCAGGGCATGCAGGGAAGGCTCATTAGCCTGGGCCCAGCACCATTGCAAATGTGGAGGGGCAGTGTCGGTGCTGTGCGTGTAAAGCATGTTGCGCATGTTGTATATGTAAAGCCATGCTGAATGTGATCTGGCAGATCTAACTAGGTGTCCTTGCTCTGTGCTCCCTGGGTGAGACTCAAGATGCTCCTATATTTGTGCACAGTTAGTACACAGCCTGGAGAATCCACCTACCAGTACCTGAGAAATGACCGCATTTCTTTGCATTAAAACATGTCAACAGGCAGGGGGACATGTAGTATGAAGCCATGCATGTGTTACATACTAGCACATTAGCTTCTCATTACCAAGCAATGAATTAGGACAGGGAGATGTTATTTGACAGTCTTGGGGAACACATGCTACTATGCTTTATCCTTCTAGGGGTGAGTGCTGTCGACAGATGTAAACACTGTCCTCTGTGCATTTCAGGGACTGGCATTCAGTGGAGAGACCTCACGAAGCCAGTCAGCGTGGACGACAACTTTACCTTAGCACAAGTACTGGGGATGCTGCTCCTGGACTCAGCTCTCTATGGCTTGGTGGCCTGGTATGTGGAGGCTGTCTTTCCAGGGGAGTACGGTGTGCCGCAGCCTTGGTACTTCCTCTTTACGGTGAGCACTGCTGCCCTACTTATGCATCTCTTCCAGCAGGGTTGTGCAGAACTTGCTCAATGACATTCTCTGCTTTTGTGCTATGCAGCAGGTGAGACTAAATTAACACTGTAGCATCATTTGGCCTTTAAAATTGAGGGTCCTGCAGTACACTCAGTAAAGGCTGGTGCTGCCATATTTTCTACTGAATAAGACGTATGTCTGGTGGATCTTCCTGGCTTTAAATCATTATCCTGACGCTTCATGGCTTACATGATGTTGTTAACGATATCTCCATGCCCAAAATGAAGGCAACAGAGAGAAGCTACAAGTAAGAGAAACCAGATCCAGTCATTTAAAACTCTCTTGAGCACTGAGATCCAGGTGGACTTGGGTGGTCTATGCCCTGCTCCCTCTGCTGTGAACCATCACATGCTAGTGACAGGGTATGGGTTACAGTTCTAAAGCAAGCACATTTTCACCCATCAGCTGAGCTGGCATTACTCTGCTAGCATGTTGCGATAGCCAAGCAAAATGTGTCATCTTCAGCCAGTGTTACTCAGCTGATTGCTGATAATTCATTAAGCCACAGTGACACAATAACCTTTGATCATGTGAATGTATCCTTTTTTATTTGATTTGGAGAGTCTTCCTCCTCCCTTCTTAATTCTTCGTCCCAGTATGATTTCACTGCAGCATCTGACTCTGCATTGTAGATAAACCAGTACAGAGCTCTCTGCACAGCAGAAATACAGCTCTCTGCCAAAAGCTATGGTAAGCTGCTGATTTCTGGGAAAGGCAGTAGCAATCTGATGCAATGTACCCTAGTCCTGGCTTGTGGTGGACAGAGTGAGCTGGAATGTCAGTGCTCTGGCACTCAGGTGCCCTGAATGCGGGAGTTGTTGAATTGTTTCCAGAGGGATTTAAAATCTCCAACACCTATTCTCATGACTAGAAAGGTTAAAAAAAGGGTGTAATTGCAGCTGCTGGACCTCCGGCCTTTTTGCACTTAGAGTGTACCAAGGTACTTTGGGAGCTGATTGTCTACAGTTCCTCAGGCTCTTCTGGGCAGGGTGGTTCTGTCTGAGGAGTTTCGCTTCTCATTGTAATGTTAACCTTTTCTGTGGAGCTGAACACTGGGAAAACTGCCTCTATAATCGTGGGCAATCATACTGTAAGAGAGAAACAGCTAAAGGAAGTAGGCAGCAGGACAAATGGAGAAGCAGTTTCATCCTCCGGCTTAACTACCTACTGAAGGTACATTGGTTAGCAGCTGATAACCAAAGAGAAATGGTCTTGCAGAGCCCTGGGAGGTGTCTGCGTGCAAGGGGGGTGGAGGAGGGTGGCAAGAGGCCCCCGCACCCTCTGTCCCTCTCTCTCTCCCTGTATGTGCTCTCTCCGCTCATTCACTCTCTTGCTCTCTGCACTCTCAGCCCTCCTACTGGTGTGGGCGCCCTAGGACTGTCGTGGGAAAAGAGAAGGAGGAAGAGGAGGACCCTGAGAAGGCCATGAAGAGCCAGTACATTGAGGAGGAGCCTGCCGACCTTGTGTCAGGAATCAAAATAAAGCATCTTTCCAAGGTACTGACTCCCCAGTGTGGCATTAATAGTAGTGCCAAGGCTTTTCCTGTGCTCTTCTCTCCCCTTTCGCAGCATTATCCTAACATTAGAGTGAGCTTGCAAGCAGTAACCAGGTATGATGACGAAGGGGAACAGAACTTAGGTCTTTTTATACTACAAGTTGTTGAGCGATCTCACAGCACGCTGGACTTGCAAGAAACTGTGATGCCCTACTCTGGAAAGCAATGGGTATAGGAGGAGAGAGGCAGGGCTCCTGGTGTGTTTGAGACCAAAATGCCCCACCTTATAGCGCCAGAGCATGGGATTTCAGGCAAAGCAGCCTCATGCTTCCACCCACCCACAGCAGACTTGTAGGCAATGTGCCTAGTGCTGTGTTTAACCAGGCTTGTGATCCAGTTGATATTAGCCCTCCCTTGCTACAGTACTGCCTTAGTTACCCATGCTAAGGTCCCAGTTCTGACTTTTTTATCACTCCTTTTCCTAAATTGACTTTGCCTGCTGTGGGCACACACTGCTCCCTCCCTTCATAAGAACTAGGATCACCCTGCTCCTCGATTCTCTCTGCCCTGGAGGGCAGCTGATGCAAAGAGCTGACAGGCACGCATCTCCTGGTGTTCAGCACCCTGAACAGTGTGTGCAGTGTGTCCCACACATGGTAAATACAGGGTTCAGGCCTTTGTACAAAGGTATGTGCTTTTATTTCTGGTCTTTTGCTACTGGGCTACCCAGGAGGCTGGAAGCACTAGGAAGGACAAGAAACGGACCCATGTTGTTCCACAGAGTGGAACATGTGGCATGCGAGGGACCAGAGAGAGGGATGTCTCTGGCTGTTGGAAAAGGCCTCATTTTGGTGTGACAGGTAGCCTTATGGTGTGTAGACTCATAGGATGAGGCAGGACTGTTTAATGCTGTGGGCAGCAGACCAGCTAGTCCTGTGCTTGCCCACAGAGCAATGCGGGCAATACAGACATTGCATCTTGGATTTTTTTTTTTTTTTTTTTTTAACTCCTGCCTACAGGCAGCTTCCTTATCATTAAACTGCCATCTTCACCCTAAGGTGTGTTGCTTGGTTGTTCCAATGTAGGTGAGGCTCTTCCCCGTAACTAGCTGCGTTTCAGTATTTGGCTGAATTGATAAGTTCTTGTAGGTGCAGTGACATCTACCTTTAACCTATTGGATGCTGATATCTCATGCCAGCCCCATAAGAGCATCAAAAGATTTGATTGTGTAGTGGAATTGAACAGGCCTCTACTGGAGAAGGGGCAGATCTGAAAGCCCTTGCCTTGAAGGGGATATCAACTTGTTAACATGATCTTGACAGGTCTTCAGAGTGGGAAACAAGATGAAAGAGGCAGTAAAGGACTTAACAGTGAACATGTACGAAGGGCAGATCACAGTCCTTTTGGGACACAACGGTGCTGGGAAGACCACTACTCTGTCTATGCTCACAGGTAGGAGCTACGTCCTGTCTTGGGGCTGGCATGTGGCAGGAAGGGAATCACCTGGAAGCATGCTATGCCCTTGCAGCATGACAGGACAGACAGCTCTCCTGACAGAAGAGAGCTAATCCCTCTGCTTTAAAGCAAGTGAAGCTATACCTGTTCTCTGAGGTTGGGGAGGGGTTTTTGCTCTTCCCCAGAGCGCCATCAGTTCACTGAGCTGTTAACCAAGGGTGCCTTGGTATTGAGGAGGATGTTGCTGCTTGGGGAGAGAGCAGGGAGGTGAGGGTCCATGCTTAATGCTTTATGAGTGTTGGATCAACCAGGGGGTGTCATCTGTGAGGGAGAGCAGACTGCTCAGTCCAGAGGCCTGAAGCAGGATGCAGTCTTTAAGTATGTCAAAGAACTCTGAAAAGAGGAAAAGATTAGCTCTAGAATGAGTTGCTGTGTGCTTTATCGTGACAAGGGAGGGCGGGCATGGGCCAAGAACTGGTCTTTGTGCGTTCCTGAGCTGTTTAGCTCAAGGCAGCCCTGTTTGAGCATGGTAAATGGACTTAGATGGCTTTCAGTGGTCCTTCCTGCCCTGTTTCCTGTCATTCTGTGCTGCTTCTGCTAGCCCAGGGTACTCACAAGATCATCCCTGGATGGCAGTGTAGCTCTGGGCTAGCATCAGATGAATCCCTGCCATGTTGAGAGCTAGGGTAGGTCTGCTCAGCTCACTCCTTGCCTGCCCAGCCTGGCAGCAGCAGTTCCAGGTGCACCTCGCATCTCTAAAAGCCATTCAGTCTACGCTGCAGGCAGGAGGAAGAAGCCCACATGTCCTGAATTCAATGGCAGGAGACTGGCTTTCTCGGGCCTTTTGGCAGAAACCTGCATGTGTGGAGGGATGGTTAGCTGTGACAGGGTCCTGGCTTTTCCTGCAGCTCTTTGCGGTAGCTGTGCAGGGTTATTCTCACCCCTGAGGAAGGCTGTTGTGTGTTGCTCCTCTCAGGTCTATACTCTCCAACAAGTGGGCAAGCATACATCAACGGCTATGACATCTCGCAGGACATGGTTCTGATCCGACGGAGCCTAGGCCTGTGTCCCCAACATGACGTGCTCTTTGACAACATGACAGTGGAAGAGCATCTCTACTTCTACTCGGGGGTGAGCACAAAGTTTGAGTGCAGCCTCAGGTTTCATTTCAGGTCTTGTTGCTATGTCTCACCTGTGCCTTTAACCTGAGTTAAAACAGCATCTGTTGTTGCTTTGCAGTTAGCTATGTGGTTGCTTGGGGCTGGGCTGGCGATGAAGGAGGCTGGGAAAAAGCTGTGAGAGTCCAGCTTAGACAGAACAGCCCTTTCTGTCCCTTCCTCTGTCATCCTTAATGAGTTCCTTGTTCAGCTGGGCAGAGGAGCTGGAGGGATCTGGAGTAGCATTACTCCCACGAGGGCTCTGTGCAGCAGAGCCTCCTGGTGTCAAATGTGTGGCAAAGGGCTCTGTGTAAGGAAGTCTCAGTTGGGCAGCAGTTAGTTTCTGTATTTTTCTTTGCCTTCCTGACTAATTGCATAAAGGTGTGGAGGGAGGGAATGTGGGGGATTTTCTAGAATCCGGTCGCAGAGGAGGTGAGTAGGATGTTTGCTGGAGACTTCGTTACCCCTGCAGGTGGACTTGACTCTTCCTTCTTGTCTGGCAGCTGAAAGGCTACCCACCTTCCAAGTGCCCTGAGGAGATTGACCACATACTGAGGATCCTGAACCTGGAGGACAAGCGCCACTGTCTAACCAAGGCACTCTCTGGTGGCATGAAGCGCAAGCTCTCTATTGGCATTGCCCTCATTGGGGACTCCAAGGCAAGTGGTGGCAGGGCTCGATTTGAACTTTTTTCCTCAGGAACAACATAGCAAAGTGCCAAGGCCTTTCTCCTCGTGGCTGCTTGGGTAGCTGCTCCCCCAGATAGGATCATTACATGCATGTTGGGAGCTCAAGGCTGCTTCTGGGCCCCTCAGATGCTTCTGCTGTGCGTCTCCCAGCCCCTTCTCAACCAGTGCCCATCTGCTATGTACAGGTGGTGATGCTGGATGAGCCAACGTCGGGGATGGACCCAGCCTCCCGCAGGGCCACATGGGACCTCCTCCAGCAGCAGAGGAGCAACCGTACCATCCTGCTCACCACCCACTTCATGGACGAGGCCGACCTGCTGGGGGACCGCATAGCTATCATGGCCAAGGGCGAGCTGCAGTGCTGTGGCTCATCTCTCTTCCTCAAGCGTAAATATGGTAAGGGAGCAGATAGGCTGTGTCAGAGCAAGGAGGAAGGCCCCAGACCATCTGATGGGAGTGCCTGTCCTCTTCTGATCGTGGAGTAGTATGGGAGAGGGGGGGATATAAGACAGGGAAGGAGACCCACTACTCCTTGTCTGTCTGTGCACTTCTTCCTCTACTTGATGCTATCTGCCTTCTCTGAGATCCATACCCACACTCTCTCTTCACAACCATGTAGCTAACCTCTCAGAGATGACTGATGCCAAAAGGCCTTGTTTCTTGGCTTGCCTTCAGCCCTTCCCACTAGCTTTTGCATCATATCTACAGCTCAGGCAAAGCCAGCAAGGCCCTGTGATGCCTTTTACCAGCCTCTGTCTTCTGCTGTCTGCCCCAGCACTGAAGGTTCAGGTCTGGCCCAGGTTAGGCTGGTATTTACACTTTTCTCCCTTCTCTTGTGGGTCTGCCCAGGGGCAGGATATCACATGGTGATGGTGAAAGAGCCGTATTGTAGCCTGGGGGAGATCTCCCGCCTCATCTGTCAGTACGTGCCCAACGCCACCATGGAGAGCAATGCTGGGGCAGAGCTGTCCTTCATCCTGCCCAAAGAGAGCACGCACAGGTAACAACATCGTGTCCTGCTTCCCCTCACTGAGTGGTTCCCGTTATCTGCACGCAGTGGGGACCCAAGCTGTGATAGTCACAGGCTTGCTGGAAACGAGAGCTGCTCTCTGTGTTTTCTGGGAAGGCGCAGGAGGAAGTGTGATCCAGTGGTTAAAGTGCTCGCCTTGGAGACCTAGGTTCAGTTCCTCCTTACACCAGAGTCTTCCTCTCTGTCTGCTGGCATGTTGCTCTAATGCCTGCACGCTTACCACGTGCCTTTGTAGCAGCTAAGTGGGACCACTGATTGTTGATAGCTGCTAACTGTTATGGTGTGGAGGGCAGACCATATAAGCAAACAAGGCAAGTTAGTTTGGCTCCAAAATCAAAGACTTTCATTTCCTCCGTAGACAAGGAAGGACTGACTTGGAGGTGTTATCCAGTGGTCAGAGTACATGGTGACAGCCAAGTGACAACCCCTTGAAAGTCTGTCATGTTTACTCAGCCTCTCAGCATTTAGCTGCCAATTGGAAAACACATTTCCTTGAAGGGACTGCGAGCATCAGAGGAAGGAGTCCTTGGAGGGAAGGTCTCTGTTGTCACCAAAGCAGAGGTCAGGGCTTTCACAGCTCCAGGGAGGTAGGGGCATAGAGCTGCAGTGTTACCTTCCTATTCGCTGGCCTGCACAGCTGTGTTCCCGCTCTCCTCCATACAGATATACATCCTAGCTAGGGCTGCAGGAGGTAGCAGTCTGTTGAAGAGGGGCTAGATAGAGTCTGGTAGCAGAGGTGTTCCACTGACATCTAGGTGTGCCCCTAATTTACAAGACAGTGGCAGAGATGTTTGGAGGCTCTTTGGTGCAACTGAGCCCTGGGCCAAAGCCTTCACACAGGGCGCAGGGTAGCCGAGAGCATCAGGTTTCTGGACAGTGGTTCAGTATGAATAGCTGAGGCTACCTGTGGCAAGAAAGAATAGCAGAAGACAGAGCTTAAAAGCTGCTTAGTGGGGAAAGTGTTGTGCTGAGTACTGCAGGCAGCCCTGGAGCTGTTTGCAGGATTCATGCCAGCTGCAGGATTGTCTCCTAGAGTGTCTTAACCTCCGAGTGTGCGCTCTCGTCCTCTACCCGTCCCTGGCTGTGCTGAAACCCGAGGCCTGGGGATTCAGGGCACTCTGTTCTGGAGCTTTGTCTGCCATCCGTTAAATCCAGGGGACGCCGTCTTTCTGGCAACCCAAAATAGGCAAGAGCTCTGCCCAGTGGAGTTGGCCTTTGATGCCGGAAGAAGGGATAAGTGGCAGCATCTGGCACCTCTCTTGTCCTTGCAGGTTTGAGGCTCTCTTCACTGAGCTGGAGCAGAAGCAGGACGAGCTAGGCATTGCCAGCTATGGTGCATCTGTCACCACCATGGAGGAAGTCTTTCTGAGGTAAGAAGCCAGAGGGCAGGGAGGGAGGCTCCCCCTGGAAGGGCTGAGTAGTGGCAGGAAAGCATCTCGATCTGAATCCCTGAGCCCTGCAGTGTGTTCAGCTCTCCTGGGAGCTGTGGTCAGGATCCCTTTAGGGCTGACTGTGGAGTGGGACCTAGGCCTCCCTGCAGCACAGTAACGTGACAAATAGACCCAACTGCCTTAGTCATCTCCTGCAAAAGCTTTCCAAAGGGTAACAGGCCTGAGATCAGAACAGCCTGAGGGCAGAGGTGGGTCCTGACCCTTTGCTTGACACCAGGAGCTCTTTAGACTCTGCTAAAGAAACCACTGAGCCTTGTCTTGGTGTCTGAGTCACAGATACCCCTTGCAGCCCTACAAGCACAGGTGCCTTCTGGCCTTTTTCCCTGTCATTCATGTGTGCTTTCACCTTCTAACATGAATTAACAATGTTGATGCAGGCCCTGGGTACTTCAGCAGCAGTGATGTCTAACACATCCCAAGCAGGGACTCTCTGTGGGTTAGAAAGGCCCAATCCAAATGTCAGTGTGAAATTGCACAAGACCACTTTTTATCCTTTTCCTGCTAAAAAAAAAAAAAAAAAAAGCCCGTGAGATTTAATGATTGGGGGAGAGGGAAGGAGCCGCAGCTCTAGAAGAGGTGTTATACAGGCAGCACCTTTTTCCCGCAAGCCTTTCCAAAGCACTGATTTTTGTCTCTAAATGACCAGACTAGGAAGAAAAAACTGGCTGTGGGAGAGAAGGAAGGTTGGAAGAGTCAGTCTGACACAGACAGGTTGCTCTAGGACTCTCTGAGGCATGTGTGGATTTTGTTTCTGGGGTTTGGCTTCTCTAGCTCAGAACAGCTCGATCCTGTCCAGGTTCGCGTTCCATCATCTACTTTCCCTTCTGGTGGCAGGGTTGGGAAGCTGGTGGATTCCAGCATGGATATTCAGGCTATCCAGCTCCCTGCTCTTCAGTACCAGCATGAGAGACGCTCCAATGACTGGGCCATGGATGACTCCAGCAGCCTAAGTGGAATGACAGATATGACAGATGACAGTGGGGCGCTCATTACAGAGGACTGCTCCAGTATCAAACTCAACACAGGGGTGAGTGCTGAGGGGTATCAGGGAACAGAGAAGAGCACATCTGAAAGGGATCTCTGCAGCAGGGGAGGTTTAAGATGGAGCCTCCCCTGTGCAAGTCTCACTATATATTATTTGTAGGTTATTGAGGGAGAAATGGAATCTACATCTTAAGCGCAAATTATTTTTAGAGTCGGTTGGGATTGGTTGCTGGTATTGGTCACTGCCATCCTCTTACGTGTTGTTCTTGAGTTCTAAAGAGGTGTCTTTTTCTGAAGATGTACAAGTGGTCTAAAATGTTTTTCAAAATCTTCCTTCTCTTGCTGAGCTTGCATTTCACATCTGTGACAGCCCTGCATGGCCAGTGGGCCGACAAGCCTGTGATAAATTTCCCTGTGCTTTGCAAGGACATGCCTCAAAGAAGGGAAGAAAGTCATTCATGGGTTTAAAAAGCAAAGAAGTCCTTACATGGGCTTGGCTGGGAGCTCCTCACAGCTCAGTTGCTGTAACAGGGAGCCTTGTTGCAATAATCCTATTTGTGGTCCTCAAATGCTGAGAAGGGGGACTTAGGTAAAGGTCATGTCTGAAGCTGCTTTTAGATCCCGAAGTAACATTGTCCATTTGGAAAGCCACGGGTTTTGAACTGCTTACCTCTTGCTCTGAAGTCAAGTGCTACCCTGTTAATCCCTTTAGAGGCTTTGCCGGAAAGCAGGATGTCATGTGAGCTTGTGGGCTAAATGCAGGGAGGATGGAGGGGCCAGGCCTTTGGGCTCGTTCCCTCCAAAAGCTGTGTGGGCATGGGGCTGGTTGGGTTGTCTGCAGCTAGCAGGACTCGAGCCTGACCTCTGACTTCTCCTTTCCCAGTTCTACCTTTGCTGCCAGCAGTTCTATGCCATGTTCATGAAGCGAGCCATGTACAGCTGGCGCAACTGGAAGATGGTGGCAGCACAGTTCCTTGTGCCTCTGATTTTCACTGCCTTTGCCCTCATCGTCGCCAAGACCTTCCCAGGACCCAGGGACTCCTCCCTGCTGAGGCTGATGCTGGAGCCCTACGGCCAGACAATGGTGCCTTTCTCTGTCTCAGCGACCTCAGATCTGTCGCGGAGGTTAGCAGAGCAGTATGCGGAGCTGCTGGATGCCCAGCACCAGTCACCGCTGGAGGTGCTAGGTGAGGGTTTGCAGAGCAGACAGTGCCTGGGGGTGTGTACAAGAGCCATGGGCTTTTCCTGCCAGGAGCAGTAATGTGAGAATGCTTGCAGGGAGGGTTAGATCCCAGTTGCAGCATATCCGACATAACCTGTTCTATGCTTTCCTGTACAGGAGTGTCCTGCAATTGGCTCCAGCCCCTTTTTGCCCCAAGAAGAGCTGTGTTCTTTATAACCCTATGTTTGTGTCCAGTGTTAGGGCTAGAGTGGGCTACCCAGAGCTGAGGCTGCTCGGGATCCTTCTGCAGTTGGCCCCTGGGTGTCAGCTTTTTATTTGCTAGAGTCTGCTTGTAACAGCAGGGTGGTGTTTGACAGGTGGCCTGGAGGAGTACCTCATCTCAAGAGCATCTGAGGAGGGGGGAGCCTTCAATGAACACTACATCGCTGCTGCCTCTTTTAAGGGAGCTGGAAACCACACAGTGGTCACCGCACTGTTCAACAACCAGGCATACCACTCCCCTGCCACTGCCCTCATGCTGGCTGACAACGCTATCTTCAGGGTACTGGCAGGCCCCAACGCATCCATCACGGTCACCAACTACCCTCAGCCTCGCAACATCACCGAGAAGGCCAAGGACCAGCTCATGGAGTATGTCTGATTGCACAGTGTTTCTTTTCTGCTAGGGCACACAATTTCACAATTTGCTAACTGGCTCGGTTGTACTAACATCAGTGGAGAAGCCAGCCTGGAGTTTCTCAGACCTAATTGTAGCTAGGATTGCACTTAGGAGGTCAGGAGAGCAAAGCTGTGTAGCTGACTGACCTACCCAAGCTTGGCAGTCACTTAACCCAACGCAGGTATCTGTGGTTGAATGTTTCCCTTTAGATACAGCCTGTGGTTAGGGGTTTTTCTCTCTGTGGGTGATCAGTGCCCATTTCTCCACCTGGGATCAGAGGGAGCTGCATAGCTGTACGTTTCAGGAAATCCTGCATCCAGGATCTCTGAATCTCACCTGTACAAGAGAGGTCATGTGTGTGACCTTGCAAAGGCAGGGTTAAAGGTTGATGGTGTGCTAGGAGGGCTGTACTTGGGAGACTTGCTGAGATGTGCTTTTGTTGTGGGGCATTTCTTGTGCATGCTGATTTGAGGGATGAGTATAGCCTTCACGAGAAGGCAATGGTATGGCGTTGTATGATGATGACTTGATACCCCATGGTCAGTGTTGTGAGGAAGAAGTCCCAGGAGAACACAGGATGCCTTCTGCTGAGACCTGCCAGTGCCCAGCACTGCTCAGTGTTCAGCCTCTGGCACAGAATCATGACTAGAAAGGATGGCAGGGTGCTGTCTGTAGCTGCCCAGAGGGTTGGTGCCTCAAGTTGGAGGGAACTCGGATGAAGCTGGCATCAACACCTGTTCCTGAAAGATGGCATAGGTGTGTTGTGCCCGTATAGTCTCAGCGTTGGTCTGTTGGGCTCTCCCTGTTTTAACTAGCCCTGCTGCTCTCCCCTCAGAGGCCAGACTGGGTTCGCCATTGCCATCAACTTGCTCTATGGCATGGCTTCACTCGCCAGCACCTTCGCCCTCCTTCTGGTCAGTGAGCGGGCTATCAAAGCCAAGCATGTCCAGTTCGTCAGTGGAGTCTATGTGGTCAACTTCTGGCTTTCTGCCCTGCTCTGGGACATCATCAACTTCCTCATTCCTTGTGCTCTGATGCTGGTAAGTCACCATTAACACCCTAACACCCTCCTGTCATACCCTCCACAAGGCCCCTCCCATCACACTGAAACTCCTGTTGCTGATGGAAGGTCACAGGGGACTCCCAGACTAGCACTGGGCCCTCTACATAGCGAGGCTCCCAGACCAGCCCTGTCATGTAGCCAAGAGAAGTTTTGACTCTTTCAGTGCTTGGCACATTTCCTTTGCCTCTGCCTTTCCTTGTGTCATCCTGGGCAAGTTGCTTGAGCTGCCCAGCGCCCCAAGCTCGGCCTCTGGGTGGTATTATATGGAGTGCCTGATCTTCTGGGAGAGCTGGGATGTGTGTGGGTAAAGGGAGAAGGATGAGACCACCTGGCTATGGCACTGTCTTACTCAATATAAAGGATCAGCAAGAAAGCTGCCACTCAGTCCTGCTGGGAGCTGGGTTGTAGGCAGAGCTGTCCAGCTTCCCTACCAGTAAAGGTCAAGTGACTGCAACCTCTAGGCCTGAATGTTTGGGAGTGGGCAATGGCACTAAAACATCTCAAGTGCATGGGAGCCAGGTGAAAAAATTCCCAGGGGCCAGATTTGTCCTTTCGCATCCTAAGAGAGCTTTCCCTGGAGACAGGTATAGGCAGCTGGTGTTGCCAGTGGGAACCCTGGGTGATGGGTTCTCCAGGCCAGCATAGTGGTACTATTATGTTGCTTGCTGCCTGGGCTGTTCAGGCAAGATGGTGTCACTTGCAGTCAAGACAAATGTGCACTCTCCTCACATTGCTGTGCCCCAGGTGATATTCCAGGCCTTTGATGTGCAAGCCTTCACCCAAGACAGCCACCTCGTTGATGTGATGCTGATCTTCCTCCTTTATGGCTGGGCCATTATCCCCCTCATGTATCTCCTCAGCTTCTTCTTCTCGGTAGCAGCCACAGCCTACACACGTCTCACCATCTTCAACATCCTCTCGGGCACGGCCACTTTCCTTGCAGTCACCATCATGAGCATTCCAGGTGAGTCCTCTTTCCTCCTTGCATGCCCAGCCCTGCGTCCTCTCTTCACCAAAAAGATCCAACCTGGGGCTGTCTCCCCACCGAGAGCTAGCAAAAAAAAAAACTATGACAACCCATCCTCACCTACTTAGCATGACAGAGTTTGCTCAGGTTCTCCTTCTGAATGTTAATGTATCAGGGCCTTCCTCTAAAAACGGCTAAATCTGATCTGTTGATCCTCATATGCTCCTTTTTCAGAACTGGGCTTGGTGGACCTCTCCAGAACCCTGGATAAAGTCTTTCTCCTCTTACCCAATTATTGCTTGGGCCAATGCATCAGTGACTTCTACCAGAACTATGAGTTCATTCAGTTTTGCACCTCCTCTGTTGAAGCCATCTTCATCTGCAAGGCGTTCAGTGAGTTTGTTTGTCCTTACCTGCCCGTGCTGGCCTTTCCGCTGCATCTACGGCCTCACTGTGGGGGCTCTGTGTGGGGTGAATGGTGAGGCTGGGTGAGTGTGGCAGAAACATTGCTGGGGGAATTTGGAGTGGCTGACCTGGGCCCAACAGGGCTACAGGTTTGGTTGTGCAGCTGTGGTTCTGTGCTTGAGAAAAACCAGTATGCGCTGGAAGGGTGGATGAGCTTTGCTTTGCGTTTTTCCCTGGGGCAGATGGAGGAGCAGGAGTGGGTTTTAGGGTAGAGAGAGGGCTAAAATCCCTGACAGCATCTCTTGATCTCTCATATATGACTGCCTGTGCCCCAGCCAGGACTGAGACATGAGATGTTCATCTCGGGAAACGGGATGCTCCAGTATCATGGGGCCTCCAGCCAAACTTGGGCAGTAGCTTCAGGTACTGTTCTAAAGCAAAACAATGAGCAGCATTTGAGGCTAACAGAGGGATCCTGTTAAGGAACATTTTTCTTACTAACAATTTGGAGGAAAATGTGGTCTTGGCAAAATTTCATAGACCAGTGAAGAAATACCAGTTGTGATTTGGGTCACAGATCCTGAAAGAATGAATTGATCTCCTCTGTATCTCAACTAGGCATACTCTGACAGTGCCAGATCCCCTCTGGGGCCTGAATCCTCTTGTGGGAGGGATTGGAAGGAGCTGTGTGCAGGAAGCCCAGGGTTTGAGCAGCGTGGGCTGGGATGCAGATGAAACTGGCAAAGCTATGGGCACCCGGCTTTCTCTGGAGCATATCTGCCGCTCCCCAGAATGTGAATTGATCCAAATATGATTTTATCCCATCCCCACTCCAGATATCAGTTATCAGATGAACTACTTTTCCTGGGAGATGCCTGGGATTGGACGATACCTGACATCCTTGACTATCCAGGGCTTCTCCTTTCTTTTCCTCCTTTTCCTCGTTGAGACAAACCTTCTCTGGAGATTAAGAACTTTGATCTGTGGCATCTGCAGGCGGCGAAAATGGGTGAGTTGAAGCGTAAGGGAGGGAGAAGTAGGCACCCTAGTGCCAAACCAGGCCCAGGAGTCACTGTGAACTGGAGATAGGCCCATACTACTTGTTCAGATCGCATCCAAATTCCTAAGGTCCACAGAGTCACTCAGATCCAGTGGTCAGGGCTCCAGTCCCCTCTTCTCCTTCTGTTCAGGACTCTGAACAGAAAGTATCACTGTCTGGGAACAACTACAGCTCCTAAACCCCATGCCGTTTGACCTAAACCATCTTCCTGAGAGAGCACCTGTGGAGCAGGTTGCTTAGAGGGGCAGGCCCTTTGAGTATATGGGGTGACAAGTGGAGTGGGACATCCCTTGAGGTGGTTGACTGAAAGGGTTGGATCCCTCATGGGTTGGGAGGACTTGCCAGAGGTCAGTCTGGAGGAACCTATTTGTCCCACAGTAGCAAGGTGGCAAATAATCTTTTTCTTCCGTGTATTTCAGGTTGCACTCCTGAACAGGGTGCCTGTGCTACCAGAAGACAGGGATGTAGCAGATGAGAGGAAGAAGGTTTTGGAGTCACCACCAGAGCTGCTGTCATCACTGAGCAGCCCCCTGGTCATCAAAGAGCTCACTAAGGTGAGGAGAGAGCATGGATCTTCCTGGGCATCCTGCTCTGAGCAGAGGCACGGCCCTCACAGGGCTCGCCTTGCTGTGGTGCTGGGAGTTTGGCATGTCCTGTGATGGCACAGCTTGTTTTTTGCTGTCCGCCAGGTCTATGACAGCCAGGAGTCCCTGCTGGCAGTGGACAGGATCTCCTTGGCAGTCAGCAAAGGTGAATGCTTTGGCCTTCTTGGCTTCAATGGAGCAGGCAAAACCACCACCTTCAAGATGCTGACTGGCGATGAGAGCATCACATCAGGTGATGCCTATGTGGATGGCCACAGCATTCTGGCCAACATCAAAAAGGTACTGAAGGCTGCAGGGGTGGAGGGTGAAGTAACAAGCAGTCCTGCTTCTTGTTGTGCTGTCCAGTGTGTGTCACCTTGCGAGTGCCTCTATGGACCGCATGGTTGCAATTGTTAGTGGTGGATGTGATATCCCAGGGACACTGCGTTCTTACCTGACCTGGCTTTCCTGTTAATCTGGTCGTCTGGAAGCAATTTCCCCTCCACTGAATTGACAGATATGAAATGAATGGAAGTCAAACCTTGGAAGGGTGGCAAACCCTTCTCAAAAGAGGTTTAGCTCAGTAATTGGAAATGCGGAAAATGTTAGAGCTCATTGTCAGATGACAGTCTCTAAAACAAGCAGGTAAAATATTTCTAGGCCCCTGCTAGAGCTCTCCTTGCTGTGACTCACCCGTTCCCTTGGGCAAAGCAAGAGATGAGTCACAAACTCTGGGTCAGCTTTTTAGTTCAATCCCTAGATACCTCCAGCTGTGTCAACCCTAGGCAATGCCAGGCATTGAGAACAGGGAGATGATCTGCCCTGAAAGTATGATCCTGTTAACTGCCTTCCCTGGGACTCTGCCTTCTGTTGGGCTCTTGTCTCCAGAGGAAGCTAGGATATGGGAAAGGTACAGGCAGCAGAGATAAGGGCTCAGTAGCACCAGTCTCTCCTAGACAAGCTTATTGAAGGGCTGGTTTCTTCTTCCACTTACTAAGTGGCACGGAGCTTTGTTTCTCCTGAAAGCCTGGGCCACCTGAAATGGCCTTTCACAACAAGGAATCGGTTTAGATAGCAAGCATGAGAAGTGCATGAGAGCCTATGTTGCCTTCCCCAGCTACACTGCGTGTATCCATCCTCTACCCCTACTTGCTGCTCCAGCAACCGGAAAAAATCTCTCTCATTTTGAGTACAGTTTCAGAGCTGTAGTTCAGTCCCTGTTACTTTGAGTATATAACCTTACAGAGAAGCAGAAAACCTCTGTGGGTGCTAAGGTGATCATACGTACCCACCATCTTCCTAGTTTGGAGATCTCCTTGCCTTAGAAACCTGCCTATGAGTTAATCTCCCTTGGGTTCCTCTTGTCCCAAGGTCCAGCAGCGGATTGGCTACTGCCCACAGTTTGATGCCCTCCTGGATCACATGACGGGCCGCGAGACTCTGAGCATGTACGCCCGGCTGCGGGGCATCCCTGAGCGTTATATTGGCAGCTGTGTGGAGAACATGTTGAGAGGGCTGCTGTTGGAGCCCCACGCGGACAAGCTAGTGAGGACTTACAGGTGAGAGGGTTATCCCAAACATGCCCTTATGTAGACACACCCCATCTCTCTGAGGCTGGTAGGAACTATGTGTAATCAAGCGTAGCCATAGCGTTTGGTCTAAGGACCCTTCTACACTTTGTCTTGCATGGCTTCCCCTGTGCTCACTTCAGGCCTGCCTCTCTCCCTGTTCCTGTTTCCTTCCATAGTGGTGGTAACAAGCGGAAGTTGAGTGCTGGCATTGCCCTCATCGGTGGCCCCCCTGTGATCTTCCTGGATGAGCCCTCCACTGGCATGGACCCTGTGGCCCGGCGTTTGCTCTGGGATGCAGTGACACGGACACGAGAGTGTGGCAAATCCATCATCTTCACCTCCCACAGGTGACAATTTTCTGGACAGGTCTTGGCCTGGGAGTTTAGGAGCAGACAGAAGGGTAGCAAGGGGATGGGGCCAACCTCCAGGGCCTGGGACGAGCTGTGCTAATAGAGCCTGATGTGGATGGACATAGCATGCAGCCAAGCAGCAGCTGGCTTTACCCAGATCTCCCTCCTCTGAGGCAGGAGAAAGCCTGGCAAGGAGGGATTCCACCTCCACCGTATCCGCAGAAGCTTCTGTTGTTTCCCAGCCAACATGAGCAGAGCTGGGACATCTCAGTGCTCCTGCTTGCTGAACAAATCTTCTTCTGTCTTGCAGTATGGAAGAGTGCGAGGCCTTGTGCACCCGACTGGCCATCATGGTGAACGGGCAGTTCAAATGCCTGGGCAGCCCCCAGCACCTGAAAAGCAAGTTCGGCAGTGGCTACACCCTGTTGGCCAAAACGCGGAGTGATGAGGAAGGCGAGCTGCTGGCCTTTAAGGCCTTTGTGGAGAAGACTTTCCCAGGTACCATGAGCTGCTGGGCTGGCTGCCCTCCGCATGAGGGAAGCCTATGAAGCCATTCATAGGCTTCAGCCAGTTTCCTAGCTCAGAGCCTCTTTTCTGCTTGTCTCTCCCAGGTAGCGTCTTGAAACATGAACACCAGGGCATGGTACATTATCACTTGACCAACAAGAACTTCAGCTGGGCACAGGTAAGAGCATGCTGGAGCACGTGCCAGTCCAACCTCAAGCTGCTCTTCCTAGTTGCAGAAGGAAGGTGTTATTGGAGGAGCAGATGTTTTCCTGCCTGTTCACATGCTCTTTGTGCTGGGCTGAATCAAGCTTCCTTTTCATACTCAGCTCATCTTCCTTTTCAACCAGAGCCACTGCCAGTTTGAAATCCAGGTGATTTTATAAAACAACAAACTAATTAAAAAGTGATTTTCTCCCTGACTTTTTTCCACATTCTGGCCCAAACAGGTCACTTGCATGTGTGGTTAGTGAGAGAGCAGTTTGGGAGCATTGTGCATGTTAAACCAGGACCCCTGCTATCCCCAGCCTCAGAGCTGCCTGCCTTTGACAGCTGCCCTTCACAGAGAAAGCAAAATCTCCATTGGGAACAAGCTTTGCTTTTTATGTTTGTTCTTCTCAAAACATTTCCTGAAAGCTCTGCAGCAGAAGGGTGGTGGAAGGGATGTGTTTGGTAGGCCTACCCTTCCCACCCCTCATCTCCATGCCAGCAACATAGCACTTGTTCCCATGTACTAGCGCAGGCAGCAGGTCTCTTGACACCAACCAAGACATCCGGAGTTTGAGCCTCTCTGCTTCCTGCTGCTGCCCCTTGGCCCGAGGAAGTGGCTTGCAGCCTGGGTCTGGGTACCTTGGGCCCCTCATACTGGCATCTGTGTTGTCCCACCTTGGGCAGGAGCCCAGTAGGGCTTACAGGGGAGCAGTGTTGCCTGTGCAGCATGTGAATCTCACTATACATTGAGTAAACCAATTAGAGAGTTGAATTCCCACCCTGAGGCATCTCTTGCTGCATGGGCCATCATTTGGCGAAGACTGGCGTTTGAGGTTCCTTAGCTTTTTCAATCTTGATCTGCTACAGTTCTCCCTATGTCAAAGTGAGTATCTTGCAATAACCAGAGCTGCTGTGCCATCCCTTGCAGGTCTTTGGGGCCTTGGAGAAAGCCAAAGAGAAGTATCACTTAGAAGACTATTCGGTTAGCCAGATATCACTGGAGCAAGTCTTCATGAGTTTCACTCGCTTCCAGCACTACACAGAGGATCGAGGGAAATGAACCCACTGGTGCCCTTCTTCATGGACTGGCTCTGCTGCCTATACATAGTATATATAGAGACAGTAATTTATATATCAGCGTGTGTCTTAAATAATGTATAAATGTAAGAAAATTTTCACCGGGGGAGGGAGACGATGGAATCATACCTTTTGCTGGTGAGCTATGGGAATCACAAGTAGTGTGTGTGTTGCGTGCCTGCTGCAGTGCACGCATGTGTGTGTATATGTGTGTGCGTGTGCCTGTGTGTGCATGTGACACTTTCACTCTTCAGCGTTCATTCCCATCTACAGCAAAAAATGTCCAAAAAGCAGGGGAAATAATAGATGGAAGGGCATTGTGGATTCTGCTCCATCCTCAAATCTTGGTGTGCCTGTCAGCAGAGTAGGACTGGGGTACTGTCTGGTTCTTCTGGCTGGTGTGGATGGTTGGAAGGCAGGCTGCTGCCCTGACGCTGCACAAGTTTCCCACACGCCCATCATCACACCCTGCCCAAAACTCATGTGCATCAGGACGCTGCTTTATGCTCTTCACACGCATGTCAAATTATATTCTGTTAGGTGGTTTGCTTGTGATTTAACAGGATCCTGTTAAATAGCTTAAATCTAAGGCGTTCACTGGGTTAATTAGGATGCATTGAGGTTGCCCTCTTTGAAGCACTTCTAGTCTAGATGGAGGGGACACAAGGGAACAGCCACGGTTTTCCCCCTACAGCAAATCTTCCGTCCATTCCATTAGCAGCAGAAGGTGGGAGAAGGCTCTGCCTCCTTTTAACGTCATAGAAAAGATGTGCCCCTCCTGCCTGCTTGGCTCTCACTCAATACTCTGCTGAGACTTGCTTCAGGCCTGCAGCTGTCAGCCACCACGTGGGGAGAGGACAAGACCGGCTGTTCTGCACAGAGGCTGTTAGTCACTGCTGCCTGGGGAACGTCTTTGGGGTGCATGTGCTGCTCCTGTGATAGCCTGCAAGCAAGGGGTGGCTTCACTCCAGCAAGGAGCAGAAGGTGCTCTGAACTCGCTAGTCATCAGGCATTCATTTTTTGCTGGTTGTTTGACCCACAGTTCAGGTGTGTGCTTCAGAGGTGGCACCAGGCTTTCCCCTCCTCTTTCCTCCTGGGGTGTATGCAGCACCCCAGGGTCCTGACTGGGGAGGGTTGGCTTTGCTCTGCCAAGGAAAGCTGTTCCTTTCCCCTCAGGCACGGTACAAACCCTGCTGTCCAGAAGGGATGTGCCCCATTTCCCCTCCCCACACGCACTTTTATTTTCCCTGCCTGTGACATGGGTGCTGTGCAGTGTCAGGAGGGAGGGGGAAACCAGCATCCCTTTGCACATTGCAAAAAGGCATCTGCAAGGCATGGTTTATTATGAGCAGCCTGTGCTGAACTGTCTCAGTCAGCAGTGCTGAACCTGATGTGTGCTGCCAACCCAGACTCCTGATGCCATGTCAAAAGGGAAATATAAGAGCTCTTCTTCCTCCTGCTGGCAGAGGGCCAGCTGAGGGAGTTGAAAGGTGCTCACGGATGGAGACGTACTTGTCATTAGAGGCTGGCAACAGCTCATGCTGTCCAAGGGAAGGCATGCTGTGCAGTGCCAGGCACTGGCACTGGATTTGCAGGGAGGATGCTTAATGGATAAATGCCCAGAGTTTGGCCCTTTGATAAGGCACATGAGGAATAAGGCCATGGCCCTAGAGCTCAGTCTGAAGGCAGTGATGGCTTGGAGGTTTAGCAGCTTGTCTGAGGACTGTTTGGAGCATCCATTAAAAAGTTTAGACAACTGCAGAGCCCTGGACTGTGTTACACAGCTGCTCCAGTTGCAGGTCTCCAGACCTGCAATTGAAGGGTTTGAAGGACCAGTGATGCTCTGGCTGCATACATGTTCTTGTCTGCTCTCTTCCCTTATGCCCAAGAGACCTCCAAGCAGAGTGTGTCTGTCTTCCCCATGTCCCTCTCCTCACCCACACATCCAGCTGCTCCCACAACAGGGAACAACTGAATTTGCTGCCATGGCTTTGCCCTGCTGTCAGGGAATCTGCTCCCACCCAAGGCATCGGACCTGAATGCAGTGCCAAGGGTATTAGACAGTCAGTCTGCCCAGGCCCTGTGCATGCAAAGCCAGAGGCAGCAGGAGCAAGGGGGATTTATTTTTGGCATTTCCCAGTGGTTGGGTTGCTTTTTATTTGTTTGTTTTACATATGTGTTGGTTCTTGTCTGTCTCTTAACTAGTCCCTATTTCACTTATGTGTCCTTCAGTCCCCTTCTGGCTGGCTGCTCTGTGATCAATGCAGAGCTATTATTTGCACTATAGTAATACACACAATTGCACATACTAAATCAATTAATAGTATTGGGGGGGGGGGGCTGATTCCCTTCTAGCGATTGCATTGTCAGGGGTTGGGTTATATTTTGGGTTGGGCTTTTTGTTTTGTTCCTGTAACTGAAACGCTCTTTCCTGTTTCATTTTTTTTCCTTTCTCCTAATGCTGATGTTTAAAAAAAAATGGTCGTGCATCATGTTACTAAGAATTTCCCTGGATCTTAGAACTAAGTGTGCTCTTATTAGTAAGCAGCCAATTGGTGAATCAAATCTCTGGAACACCTCTCATCTTGATACTGAGGATGTTCTCACTGGGAACAGCTCCACACAAAGCAGAACCAGCTCCCCTTTGCACTACACAGAACTATGGATAGGAGCAGGGATCCTCACGAAGTTGTCAAGGCATTTCCAGTCTTTCCAATGACTCTGCGCTCTGTTGCAGCCAGACAGGGATGTCAGTTTAGGCAGGGGGCCCCAGTGGGAGAACACCAGCATAAGGAAAGGGTGACCAACCTACTCTAATGTCACCTTGCCTGTCTGCCAGAGTCAGCCCCCTTTGCCTCTCACCTTCACAGACTCCCCTGGCTGTGCAACTGCAGCTGGTTCCCCCCCCCGCCCGCGGGGCAGAGTGCAGGGGCGCCAACAGCAGCTGGCAGTACTGCATGGGCAGGTGCAAGGGAGATGCTTCAGGTGCTCGTGCTTTGCGCCCGGGGGGGGGGGGGGGGGGGGGCGTACGGGGGCGGG